CAATCTCATGAAAGAACAAATTAGCAACATGAGTAGCATCATCTGTCTTATGGCATGGTATGAAATGTGCCATATTAGAAAATCTATCCACAGCAACAAAGACACTATCTCCCCCCTTCTTTATTCTAGGCAGTCCTAAAACAAAGTCCATAGAGATATCTTCCCAAGGTGCACTAGGAACAGGCAAAGGCATGTACAACCCATGGGGATTATGTCGTGACTTAGCATTTTGGCATGTTGTGCAGCGTGCTACGAATCTCTCCCCGTCTCTCCTCATCTTGGGCCAAAAGAAATGGCCAGTGAGGATGTCCACTATCTTCTTCACAACAAAGTGTCCCATCAACCCACTTCCATGCGCTTCCTGCAACAACAACATACGCACAGAGCTAGCTAGAATGCATAGCTTATTAGCTATAAACATAAAACCGTCAGTGAGGACAAATTTGTTCCAAGTTTTCCCCTCTTTGCAATTCAGCAACGCATCTTTGAAATCATCATCATGTACATATTGATTTTTAATTGTTTCCAAACCAAAAATTTTGAAGTCAAGTTGGGACAACATTGTGTAACGTCTAGATAGCGCATCAACAATGACGTTCTCTTTCCCTTTTTTGTGTTTGATGACATAAGGAAAATATTAAATGAACTCAACCCACTTAGCATGCCTATGGTTTAGTTTTGCTTGACTTCGAATGTGTTTCACAGACTAATAATTTGAATGGATAACAAATTCTTTGGGCCACTAATAACGTTGCCCTGTTTCTAAAGTTCGAACTAGAGCAAACAACTCCTTATCATAGGTAGAGTAGTTCAAACTTGGTCCACTCAATTTCTCATTGAAATATGCTATAGGTTTTCCCTCTTGTAATAGCACACCTTCCAAACCAATTCCACTAGCATCGCATTCGAGCTCAAAAGTTTTATTGAAATCAGGAAGTTGGTGCAATGGTACATGTGTTAACTTATCCTTTAGCGTGTCAAAGGCATTCTTGTGTGTAGCAGCCCAAGTGAATGGCACTCCCTTCTTGGTCAGTTCATGTAGGGGGGCTGTAATGGTGCTAAAATTCTTCACAAAGCAGCGGTAGAATCCATCAAGTCCGTGTAAACTTCTCACTTTTGTGACCGTTGTGGGAACCGGCCGGCTGTGCATTGCCTCAACCTTGGCTTGATCAACTTCAATTCCCTACAGGGTCACAACATAGCCAAGAAAAGATACTCGATCCGTGCAAAACATGCACTTATCAAGGTTACCAAATAAACGTGCATCGCGTAGAGCATCAAAAGCAGCACGCAAATGATTAACATGTTCCTCTAGTGTTCTGCTACATATTAAAATGTCATCAAAATATACCACCACAAATTTTCCAATGAAAACACGCAAAACTTCATTCATTAATTTCATGAAAGTGTTGGGTGCATTAATGAGACCAAAAGGCATGACTAACCACTCGTATTGGCCGAACTTAGTTTTAAAAGCCGTTTTCCATTCATCTCCTAACTTCATGCGAATATTGTGGTAACCACTATGCAAATCAATTTTAGAGAACACAATTGAGCCACTCAATTCATCAAGCATATCATCTAGCCTAGGAATAGGGTGACGATATCTGATTGTAATGTTATTAATTGCTCGACAATCTATGCACATGTGCCATGATCCATCTTTTTTAGGAACAAGAAGTACATGAACAACACAAGGACTAAGAGATTCACACACATAACCTTTGTCAAGCAATTCTTGCACTTGGTGCTGCATTTCTTTTGTTTCCTCGGGGTTGGGTCCTGCATGGTTGAAAGGTCCTTGTTTGGTTTTAGTAATTGAGTGACAACCTAGGTGGACTAATATGTGTCCATGTGAGATACACAGGTGATTAGTCCCCAGGTACACTAGTGTGAGCAACACATGCCATGTAGGTGAAAATGGATTGGATATGTTGCAAGGCTCACACATGTGATGAAGGAGCTCATTGCATGAGACATGACGTGGAGTCATGTGACTAGGTGGAGAAGATCAAGATGAGGCTTGGATTGATGGACCGGTTGCAAGCGTGAAGAGCAAGTCGCGTGGCAGGGAAGCTTGAGAAAAAACTTGGCACTGATGGACCGAAGCAAATTTGAAGAGCAAGTGAGGTCAAGATCGATGAACCGATAAGGTCGCATGATGATATGAAGTGGATCATATCATCTGTTGATCAATGTTTGTGCATGTGTTGCATCAACATTGGAGGAGATGAAACAGAATGCGCAAGGCAAAGGTATATTTGTAGGGCATTTCATTTCACCGGTCAAAGATTGTGTAGAGAAGTGCATGACCGGATTTATGATAGATGGCCGTACTATGAAGAGGGGCAAACTTGTTTTCATATCGGTCATCTAGTGCCACTCGAGTGATCTAACATTGCATGCGTTGCTAGGATCGAGTGGCGTGGTGAAAAGAGAGAATAATCCTTTGAAAAATGATTATGAAAATACTAACACACTTGCACATGGTGGTGTACACTTGGTAGTGTTAGCACATTTGCAAAGGAGAGATATTGGAAGAGAAGGAGGCATCTCTGAGTGCTCCGGACCCTGAGACGGCAAGGGGCCGGACCATGATGCGAGGGTTCGGTAACTAACCCTTGCTCTCTGGTGTTTATGGTAGGGAGCCGGACTTGGGGGCAGACTTTGGACCCTGGGGTCTGAAACATGGGCTGCGGGTCTGGTACCTTACCCAAGGTGGCGCAGGCTCAGGACCCTGGGTGTCCAGTGGGTCCGGACCAAGGTGCACACGCCCGGTTGTGCCATGTTGCGCAACGACGTGCAAGTGAGCGAGCTCTGGACTCGGACGCATGGTCCGAAGTGCTGAACCGGACTAGGTCCTCTGTGTTTTTGTGCTCTCGAGAGCTCTCTATTGTGCTCCAAACTGTGGTGCGCATTGGTTCGGACTCTCGGTCCGGAGGTGGTGCTATGCGCGCGAAGTAGCCATTGGAGGCCAACGGTTGGTTTCAAATGTGACAGAACCGCCCAATTTATACATGATCAAGTACGACTGCCCCCGCTAACACGTTGGCACACACACTTTCTCTTAAATAAATCCGGTAGTCCGCCGAGTGTCATGAAGGACCTCGGTAAATCCACATCAAAACCAAGATCTTAATAGATTAAGCAAATACACATCACATACACAGAGTTTATGGCGGAAATAATATTACAATTGAGTTCACAAATAAATAATACATACTGAGTTCAAATCTAATTAGAGAAAACATACCTTTGAAATGCTTATAACATCATAAGTTCAAATATATTGCCAGCTTAAATGACATCCTCCAACAAAAGCATGTAGATGAGAAATAAATACGGATTCGCCGAGCCCACCAACACTTAGTCACCACCTTCAGGAGGCTGAGAACTTCACCTGCAACATGGTGGGATAAAACCGTGAGTACTGAAATGTACTCAGCTAGACTTACCCGATAGGAGAGAAATAAAAAGACTCTCAAGGATATGCAAGGCTTATTTGGTGGAGATAGTTGGATAGCATAACTTTGCAAAAGAGCATTATTATAATAAGTCCTCACTTTCAATATTTTATTCAATATTTTAGCATCAAGTTTAGTGAAGCTTTTTAAGGCTAAGTTTGCACCTGTTCTATAGCAATCACTTGATATTGAAGCATCATAGTAGTAACCATATCTAGTTTATCGTATAATCAGCATAACCATCATATTGAATAA